CACTTAGCTGGGGAAGAAAGTAAAACTCAGGAGGGTCGTGGCTTTCTCAAGATCACACAGCTAGTAAGCAGCAAGGCCAAAATCACAATACAGGCAGTCTTAATACTTAGCAGAAAACACTATTATGTGTAGCAATCTTGTTTTAAAGAATTTAGAAAACACCCAGCTGCTTAGGCATAATAGAAATAGGCGTCATGGAAATACAGCAATGCAGCATATTATTTATTTAAAAAAAACAAACTGGAATGGGCTTTTAAGGTATATTACTGCTTTCTTCAAAAAGATAAAAAAAGAAGTATTTCATAAAGGGATTAACTGACTACATGACCTCCGTGGGCCTCTCCAACTCTGATTATAAATTAAATGGAAAAATGAAAGAGATTTTAAAAATGTGCTCCAATAATGTAAAATATTTATTAGTAAAACAGAAAGCCATGATGATCTCTCCTGAGAACTTGTAAAATAAAGTGGGCAACTGGTGGGGCATGAAATTCATGTTCTTTTTATGCTGATGTTTGAGTAATTCCTAAACACAGCACTGGTTTATTTCAAACTATACTGATTTGAAGATGATGGCTAAGTCTAGTGAAAGATTCTAGGTTTGGTGGCAAAAGTGCAATTCTTCTAAACAATCCCTAGAGACTCGTCTTTCCTCTTCTCATGTTCAATAGCCCTAGCAAAGCTGAACAGGTTTCCATCATCTTACCTTCCCTATTCCCCAGGAAAAAAGATAATTTTGGTTATGCCACCAAAAAAAGCAATCATTACCGGAGTTCCTTAAGGGCAGAAGTAATTACTGACCTGTAATTATACTCCTACTCTGTCAGCCAATAGCAAAATGGGTGACTTACAGCAAATTGAGTATAAACACTGGCTTGGGCAACTCTCTCCACAGAGGAAGTGGCATAAGGAGCCCCAGATGATGCAGAGGCATAAATCTGAGGGCAGTGACCAGTCAGTTAATAAAACACCAATATGGCCCCATCGCTTTATATGCCAACTTGGTCAAACTAGGAAACTCCAACTTTTTTTTTTGGCACAAGAATACTAAAGGAGGAAACGAGCTTGTTATTTATTGGGTTCTGAATCAAGGTCAGACTGAAGACCTGACAGGAGGTTCTTTCTGTCCTGGATGATGCCGATTATTATCAGCCTTTGTAATGATCCTCACATACATCTAGCATAAAGTAATTAGCCAGTTAAGAGAAGGAACATCCACCTGAATAAAGAGGCAGCCTGGCTGAGGGGCATTTAATACACTCAAAGCCATGATTTTGTTAGTATTGGCAAAGAGCAGAGAGAATTGTCTATGGGTTTAACTGACCAATTTAAGTAGTCTTCTTCAAAGCTGTGATAGCTTAATGAGAATTGTCAAAGGGTCAAAGAGAACTTAATTTCTTACTTCTAGCTGAAAGAGGCCTTAGAAACTGTAGAGGTTCTTAACCAGGAGTCCATGAATTTGATTTTTTTTAGAAAATATTTTGATAACTGTAATTCAGTATAATTGGTTTTCTGCAAAAGGGGTCCCTGACATACATAGAAAGGCCTAACATACTGGAACCTCCTTTTAGATAGGAGGAAACTGAAACCCTAAGTTGTCATGGCAATAAACTGGCATTTGGTGTCTTCTGGGGACAAGAAGAAAAGATCACGCAATCCTGTCACAAGTAAATAATCACACACTACCATGCTTCCTTCTTGTAAGCCAGTCAGTCCTAGACACAGATCAAAGTGCAGCACCTATATTCCTTGCCACACAAATAACAAAGGCAAGGGTGAGGTGTAACAAGAAAGTAGTGCTAATACAGATGAGCAACGAGGAGGTGGTTGTACAAGGGAAATCTAGATAATTTTTGTTTTGGTGCTGGTGCAATAGAGAAGTGGTCTCTCTCCTTAGCTTTCTTTCCCATCCTGATTTTATAAATCCCACCAAAGCTAAAATGTCAGAGGGAGGTCTGGGTTTGCCTGGAACTCAAAAAGAACACCATCTTGGTCTCCTGACCATAAATAGGGGGTAGATGATCATTAAGAAGCATTTGCTACAGCAGCCACATATGAAATTCTTGAGAGGGAACACCTGCCACCTCCTGTTTATGAGAGCCAGCTCAAAAGGCAGAAATGGGAAGGATTTCCTATCACTATATGGTGATACAGGTTGGGCGGACCAGGCCACACTAGGCCACTTCTGAAAGGACAGTGTGGAAGTGTAGTTAGGAACAGCTAATGACTGGTGAATCCATAAGTCTAGCCCCTGACACCAAAGGAATTCTATCAACCCTTGGTTTTATCCTCACTTGCCTTAATCCTGAATGGTACAGTCAGAGGCACTTGGGGTTTTGCTCACCCTAGACTGGGGTATCTGTAAAAAGCTCCAACAAAGCTCTTTGTTAACCACAGCCACCAGCTGAGGTCCACCTATGTCTGGACAGAGCTGATATGCAAGGAGCATTTAAGTGAATGGCTTGATTTCCCTGAGCCAAACCAAAAATGGCACCCAAGCTGTGGCAGTGAATGCTCACGTCTCCTTTCATTATTTTTAGATGACCGTATCCCCTGGGGGTATGTAGAGTATCAATAAACCCAAATGTTAGATCAAGTGAGGAGGAGCGATGTCACCATTTCTTGAAATTCCAGACACAACTAGCACATGCAGGTGCTTGGGAAAAGGGGCGGGGGGCAGCAAGCTGGGGTTTTGGATGTAATCATTTGTTGGGGTTTCTTGACGACAGTAATTTAAAATTATGTAATGAGTGGCCTTACTTTGGGAAAGGCAATAGCAAAACATGTGATTCATAGAAAATGTAATATAAAAAGTGGCTAGTGGCCTAGCTGATCAACATTTATTACTCCAATGCACCATTCTGTTCCTATCAGCAAGACACTATCTCCACTCAGCTCCTCCTTAGAATCAGTAGTTTGTAATGGGAACCCTTGTGGTTAACAACTAGTGTTCAAAACTGGATTTCACTCCACTATTCAATATCCAAGGTGCCTAAAATACTATTGAACACATTTAAACAAGTAGCCTATATGGACCTCCACAGGCCCTCTCCTTAGGCTCTTCGTTATTGTCCTAGGAGAGTATGTAAAGCAATACTGAGTGAATCCAGTCTTAATTTTTAAGCCTTCTATTCAGATCCCATCAGTTCTGATGAGTTAAGGCAACCACTCCAAATACTGGACAACAGAACTGTCTCCATTGACAAATTCCATTTAGTGATTCTCAGGCTCTCTCTCATTACCAAAATTCATTTTAATCCATCTTAATTATTAAAAAAAAAAAAACCCACAAACGTAACAGCATCTTATGGATATGTCAGGATGTAAAAAATTCAGCCATAAATATCCCAAAATAACTTTGAATCACTGGCTTACACAACTGGGCAGTGGGCATCCATATTTATCGTAGATGTTACTACTTTGTGTGCTGTGTACCTGCAATGAGATTTGGAGCTATTATTAAATCTGTGATTGTGTTTATATATACATAAGTACATTTAAAAATATTTATGATACATCACACACAACAAATATATTTATACACACATCTGTTGCAGCCTCAAACTTCGGTTCAGCAGGTAACCCCCCTGATGGGTATGCAGGGTCAGCATCTTAGCTATAGATCACAAAAAGTTGCAAGAACCTTTACCCGTAAGGTTCTTGACACCAAAACCTACCAGTACAGAGATGAGAAGACGGAAAATAAAAAAATGTGCTTATTTGTCTTCAAGGAAACATACAGTGAAATTAAGACTCAAGACTATTCAGGAATGAGTTTTCAAAGTCTCCTCCCAAATGGATTATGTTTTTACTTTGGCTCAGAATTTGAAGGATAATATTTCCAGTACAGACATACGAACAAAAAGATTAAATAAAGTCAAAATCCAGTGGGCCAGTACTGAGTTTGGTGTGGACACACATCAGGAGCAGCTCCACGATATGCTTGCTGACAGTCAACACTGGAATGATCTGACCAAACAAGCTGAAGAGCTGATTAGACAGCAGGAAGCCAAAAACCTAGCATCCTAGAGCTCTCAAAGGAACCACTGATCAACAGCTTTCAGAGAACAAAATGCTAATTCAAGAGATAAATAAAAGTGAAGCTACGATGAAAATCTACAACGATCTGTGGAAGAACTTGTTTCAGAACTATAGTATCAATGACACAAGGAAAGTGAAAGAAAGTGGTAACAACTTGAACGCATCCCGGATTAAGCTAAATCAAAGCAATCATGACCAACAGATTGCCTCCAAGGCTGAGGATGGTGCAGGCCTCCTTCCCAGGTCTGGAGAACTTCCTAAAGTGGATGACAGAGGCAGAAACCATAGCTAATGTGCTTGAAGAAGGAGCTCAGTGGGAGAATGCTCTCCAGGACACTGGTTTGGCCAAGGAACTCAAAAAGCAGATTCAGAAAACTTCTTGAATCGCATTTGTGAAGCTTTCAGCCCAGCCCAGCAAGGACATACAGGCTGAAATCGATGCCCACGATGACATCTTTAAAAATATTGATGGAAATGGGCAGAATATGGTAAAAGCTTTGGGAAATTTTGATGAGGTGGCTGTGCTCCAACATCAACTAGATGGTATGAACCAGAGGTGGAATGATTTGAAAGCAAAGTCTGCCAGCATCAGGGCTCACTTGGAGGCCAGTGCTGAAAAATGGAATTGTTTTCTGACTTCTTTAGAAGAGCTGATCCAGTGGCTAAATATGAAAGATGTTGAGCCTAAAAAATAAATGCGCACTGGAGGAGATGAAACTGCCTTAAACCTCTAGCATAACCACTGTAAAGAACTAAGACGTAAATTGAAAGAAAAAGAAGAATCTATATCGAATGCTTCAGACCAAGCTCAAGCCTTCTTTGTTGACCTGCCAACTGAGACCCCTGAAGAACCAAGACACGGAATAGGGGCAGCTAGGTGAGGTGGTGCAGTGGTTAGAGCACTGGCTCTGGAGTCAGGAAGACCTGAGTTCAAATCCAGCCTCAGACATTTGACACTTAACTAGCTGTGTGATCCTGGACAAGTCACTTAATCCCAACTGCCTCGCCAAAAACAACAAAAATCCCAACAAAACAAAGTCTCTGACATTCACATGTAACATTTGCATGGAAAAGACCATTTGCAAAGTTCAAAGTCCTTTATAAAAATATATATGGTCTTGGTGAAGAAAAAAATTTTTGACAAGTCTAAGACTGCTATAAATCACTGTGCTTGGAGCTGGTAATTCCCTGGGAGAAAAAAAGCAGCAAATGGGAACTTCACCTCAGATCCCGACAGGTAAAAGGGTGTCAAAATTTTGAGAACTCAAGTCTCTACTTAGCTCTTCTTTTGGGGTAGGTAAGGCGGTAGTGATTCTCAGTTTACTTAAGTCTAATATCATCAAAACAATATGGCTTGAAGGAAATTTCTAATTATCCAGGCAAGAGGAGGGAGGGGAGGCAGAGCAGGCTTTCAACTGCTCTATTCTGACTTCTGGATAATAAATACCATCCTTTGGGTGAAGTTCACGGGAAAACCCTTCGATGTTGATCTTCGGACTTTAACTGAGAAAGAACAAAAGACATCCCCCCGACTAACCAAACCGTTAAAATACATTAAAGGCACCTTGGGTGCCATTCTTTTGTAGAAGCAGATCAAGTGTTCATCTCTAAGGGAAAACTGTTTCAATGTAGACGGCCACAGAAGGAGTGAGGACTTGGGACGGGGATACGGATCTGGACGGCTGACTGATGATTTTCAGGCAATGGTACAGGATTTATGCTACCGTAATAAAACACAACGTTTTTAAATCATTGTTTTGATTTGTGTTTCACTGCTCAAAGGCTTTCGGAGGACTGAGACTCTTGAACTGACTTCACGAGCAACCAGAAATAAAGCCTGGACCGTACCACTGCGCTGTAAATCACGTAAGGCAACTGGGACAGGAGCTGGCTTCAGACTTCAGACAGATTCAGTTTTCATAAGCCAGGGGCCATTCACTATACCCCTGCATCAGTACTGCGTGGCTGAAAGCCCTCCCTCCTTAGGCTATTCATGTCCAGGCGTGTCAAGACCTCACAACGCACAAGTAAGGTATCATCTTTAATGAAGGTTCTTTGCCTAAGAGCTTGCAAGTGCATGAAAGTCACGTAACCAAAACCTTTGGGGTTCCGGGGGATGGTAGGCCTCTGGAAGGCAAGCAGCTCTGGTTTGGCATCCATGATCTCTTCGTGATTCTGCCTCACAGGTGCTTCAGACTGATCGAGAATAGTGAGGCGTATTGTGCCCTGGAAGGGCCAGGGAAGGTGGCTGTCATACTCACCCTGCATCGTGTGGACAAAAAGGGAAATATAGTTAGCGCAGCGCTGAGCGCTTGGCAGCTGCAGGTGAAGGCGCATGCAGAGTTTGTAGCCAGGTTTGCCAGTATAGAATCCAGGACTATGGATGACAACAGGCTTCTCTTCTTCTTGAGATTTCAAGTGCATCCCAAAGTTGTTAATCTTCCAGATATAAATGCCATTGCACTGCTGTGCCTCCATCTCAGCAATTCGGTCCTCCAGGGTTCGGATGGTCCTTTTGAGGTCCCCCACGCAAGCACTCTGTGTTTCCATCTTAGCGGTCAGCTCTCGGATCTGATGGTCTTGTATTACAAGACGACTCTCCAACTGCTGGATGGTTTCCTGGAAGTTATGAATGTCGTGGGGGCATCCTGAGGGGGCCCGGGATATGGAGCTCCCATCGTAGGGAGGGGCCTCACGCCCAGAATTGAAAACTGCAATGCTGATGTTCTCGATGGCCTGGGCCATCATGCGCATGTGGGCCAGAGTAGCCTCTTGCAGGTGGCGAGCCAGATGATTCCTCTGCATCTAGAACAAAAACTGATGATAGTCAGTAACTAGAGCAGTCAAACTGAGAAAAGAATGAGGAAATGTCAGGGATAATCTAAAGGGATAAAATGGAAAAAATGAAAATAATAACTAACACATCTCTTACTCTGAAGTTTGCAACGCATTTTACATACATTATTCCATTTAGCTCTCACAACAATCTTGTGAGTTGGATGCTTCACTTATTAACTCCATTTTATAGAGAGGCAAACTGAGCCTCAGAGACATTTAGTGACTAGGCTACATTGAGTCAATTTTAGAGGCAAGACTGGACCTCAGGCATTCCTGAATTCAACAACATTCCATCGTCTCTTGAAAGTGGATTATGGTTTGCTTAGAACCTCCAATGACCAAGGATTAGATTTCTTTGAAGTATCTTTGCTGAGTAATATAAATGTCACAATTTAAGAGAAGAGTTTTTCTTGATGGTTAAAAACAAAACTTACCTTCTCACGACACCCAAATGTACTGAAAGTACATGGAATTGGAGCTATTGGGCAATCTATATCATAGTGATTAGGCATCTGGAAAAAAAACAAAAATAAACATTTCCCTGCAAGACATGATTTTCTCCAGACACGTTTAAAGTGTCTATTTCAATTTCCAATAAACTATCAGTAAACACAATTTCAAAGTCACACACTGCAGGTTAAGCAATATTAAGTCCCATATTATTCCAACAGATTTGATACAAATTAAATTTCTGGGAAGATAAGAAACTCAGTCCGACTGCTGGTACAGACTTCCCTCTAGTGGTTTTCAGAGGAAAGAGACTTGTCTGAAGTGACTTCAATGACAACTAGAAATTTACCATGGGCTATCAGTGCGGTACAATTGTGGAACAGGGCTAAGGGTCCCTTAATGCAGTACAGCTACTGACCAGTGTTTAAGGCCATTCAGTGTTGGGGATATTCTACCACCCACCCACCCCCAACCCGACACACACATTTTGCCTCCATCTTCTCCCTGCTCCCCCTTTTGTCTTTTTCCTTTATCCTCAGGCCTGCCAGTAGCGGTGTGGCATTGCCCAACTCTATTGGTTAACACTGTAGACAGAGGGTTCCTTGCTATGTGACAAAGCCTCAATCCTGATTCTTGTTTCTGATATGCTCACTTTGATGCAGCAAGAAGCTTTACAGAGAATAGACTTCTCTGAATAGTGCCTGAATGGTTTCTTCCTCTGCTGTAAAGGCAAAATTAAGACACCAAAACTATATTTAGAAGCTGAGGTTGGTGCAACCTTATTTTGTGAAATCTCAAAAGTGATATGGTTTTGTTTTAAAGAAAGAATAGGGGCAGCTAGGTGGCGCAGTGGATAGAGCACCACTCCTGGAGGACCTGGGTTCAAATCCAGCCTCAGCAGAAACACTTCACACTTACTAGCTGTATGACCCTGGGCAAGTCACTTAACCCCAATTGCCTAAAAAAAAAAATAAAATAATAATGGTACTACCTAAATTAAATTTTGGGGCAGCTAGATGGCGTGGTGGAGAGAGCACCGGCCCTGGATTCAGGAGGACCTGAGCTCAAATCCGACCTCAGACACATAACACTTACTAGCTGTGTGACCCTGGGCAAGCCACTTAACCCCACTGCCAAACCAAAAAAAAAAAAAAAATTAAAGAAAGAATAAATTCTGAGAAGGGAATTGGGGGCTGTAAGAAAGGAAACAGGAAAAATGCAGTGTATTCAAATGAACACTTTTGTCTTTTAGAGATAAATTCAACTGGTCACTTCAGCAGCACAACCAATCAAACAGAAAAGTTTAGAAAGTTTTCCTAGCACTTGCCGAACAAGTTACTATAGGGTGATCTCTGTGTTGGCAGATTTCACAGTTGTATTACAATTCCTACCAATAATTCCTATTTTTGCTGTTGAATTGCCCAAAAGTTTTAAGACAGGAATGAGGCAGAACTTTTCCATCCAAACTGTCAAAGACACTATCTGGTCCACCATATACCCATTCCATGTCGGACGCCCAGTTTGCTACCTAAGGCGTACTCATGATGGACTATAAATTCCAAGATACCTTAGAATTTCTTATTAGGTTTCATGGCCTACAGCCAAATGATGTCAAAAAGGAAAGAACGAAAATTGTGGAACTGATTATACTTGCTTCATCTTATGCTTTCCTCTTTCTCTGGTGGAGTCTATCTCCCTAAGGAATATACCATAGCAAAGGTATATCTGACACAAAATTCTTAGTGTATTAACTTAAAGATTGGGTGTTTGAAGACGGGAATGCTCAGTTCAAATAACCCTTTCTCTAGAAATTACCAATTTTTTGGAGGCGAAGACACACACACACACATACACACACACACAGCCAGCTTATATAAATCAAGAGCTGGAAGGGCCCTTAAGAAGTCACATAGGCCATCCGGCCCAACCCTCTCATTTTACAGATGATGGCACTGAGGCCAGAAGTGAAGCATCTTGCCCAAGGTCACATCCACAATTCCAGTTTAGGTCACGGCACTCCAACTTCAGCCTTCTCTTCATTGCAGAGATTTGGGGTTCTCTGGACTTGTGCCTCTTCACAGTCCTGAGCAATTCACAGAAAGTGACCGATACTGTTGACCTAGCTCAAGCAGGCTCCTTCCCACCTAAAAGGATTCCCCAGCCCTCTGCCATGCTATGGAGCATCTCTATTTAAAATACTTTTTGATATTTCATTTCCAACTCGATAACACAGACTCCCTCCCTGGGAGCTTTCAGTGAATGTATATATTTGTGAAAAAGAATGAAGTCACTCTACCTGTTCCCGGATGAGCATGGTGTTGCAGTATTCACAGAAGACTGTTGCCAATGGGCAGTTCTGGTCATGGAACTGCATTTTGGAGAAAAAGAAAAAATGCATTAGCTATACTGGATCAATCCATTATCAACTAACAAGTGTGCGGCTGATTTTTCACCTAGCCCAAATTACTCAGGAGCAGTGAGATTTGTGTAGCATTAACTACTTCAACAGTTTCAAGAACTTAGGTTTCCATTTTTCCCAGGATATTCATGATACTTATTTAGTGTTCTAGTTCTCCGAACAGAATACTGACCAAAATGCAATAGCTCTTCAACTTTTACTAGCTAATTACTAGCTAAAAACATAGCTGGGGCCCTTGTATAAAGAGGTTACTAAATGGAATCATTCCTGGTATATAAGTTTTACAATGTTGCATCTCCACTGTTAAAAGTCAAATCCCATTATTAAATTCTCTCATCATCAGAAAGAATCTTCAAGTCCCTAGTTTGGAAAACCAAATCCCATGCCTAAAGTTAAATTTAGTCACTATATTGGGAAAGAATCAACATTCCATGATGGTTCTACATATACTGAGGCGGGGGCAAGGAAAGAGATATGATTTTGCTCCAATTATGACTCAAACGTGACTCTTTCCTACCACTTTCAGCAAGTCAGCTAATTTCACTGGTCTCTATTTCATAATAATAACTAACATTGACACATCACTTACTCTTCATCAAGTACCGTGCTAAAGAGCTTTACAATTATTATCTCATTTGATCTTTACAACAACCTTGAAAGGTGGGTGCTATTACTATCCCCATTTTACAGATGAAGAAACTAAGGCCAGGGTCACATAGCTAGTAATTGTCTGAGGCCGGATTTGAACTCAGATTTTGTTGACTCCCAGTTCGACCCTCCTATCTGTTGCCCCAATCATTTTAAAGAGCAGCACACAACTTAAAGAACAGAGTTTGGGGAACTACATAAACAGCAACAGTTACAAGATGATACAGATTCTATGAAGGTTAGTCTTGTGGTGGGGAACCAGGAAGCCTGGATTCTTATTTCTAATTTTGTCAATGACAGCATAATCTTCAATTACAGAAGCCTCCTCTCTGTGCCAAAAAGTCAAGAAACAACCTCTTACATCATCACGGTGCTCTAAAGGTAAGTGGGAAATGTTTCAGGTTTGCATAAATCATGCCTGGGCATCATGCCACTTTTGTTTTTCAAAAGTTGTTTCTTCTGTGCTCTTCACACACTTGACCCTGAATACCCTAGATATTTCCAAGATCGGTCTTTAAAAACAAGAGGCAGGAATACAGATCAGAACACCTTTCCCTACAACTTTGTCCCTGTGTTAACTTTTCAACGTGACAAAATGTTTCAAATAAACAGCTTTCTGTAAGTTAATATCTATACATTTTTAACCTTCCAGTCATTTCAGTGAGAATATATTTTAGCCTTCTTAAGCTTTAAAAGCTAATTTGCCCAGAATGGTAATGAAGTTAAAAAGTTCCATTAACCCATACAGGAAGGATATGTGATTTCATCAGTGGAAGGAAATACTACTATGGAAGCCTCATCCACCAATGCAGACTGCAACCCTTCTATGATACAGTAGTTAAGATCAAGCAGTTGCCTGGACTATACAGAGGTGATGGGCCTTGCCCAGCACCTACACAGATAGTTAAGTGTCAGAAGCTGGATTTGAACTCATATCTTCCTGACTCCCAGCCCAATGCCCCACTTATTATGTCATGATGCCACATGGCATAAGATTTCCATCACTTCTCAGTCCCTCTCAAATGTAGACAGGTACCAATTTCCAGGCCACCTCTAAAAGATGGCAGAACACAGGTCAATACGTGCCTCTTTCTCTTCAAATGGCATTGGTGCAGCACAGTTCACACACGACACTTGTCGCCTTGGACACTCCATGAGCATATGATTGTGAAGGAGACATTTCCGAAAGGAAAGGTGGCACTGTGGGCATTCTGCAAGGGCAAACTCACAATGTGTCTGGTGATCCTGTAAGAAGAACAAAATGAAAATTAATTAATATCTGTCAAGATGAAAGGTTCCACCTACTCTCAGCAAGGTGATATACATACTATTCAGATATAAGAGAACATAGATATTATGTAAAGCAGCACATTACAATATGGCTGCTTTAAGGAGTACTTTCAAATAATAATTATGATTTTAAAATTTATAGGGCAGATGCAAATCGACCAAGTTCATATATGCAGAGGCAAAAGAGCTAGTCTCCAAGCCAGAGGAGCTGGATTCAAGTCTGACTTCTGACACACACTGGCTGCATGGCCCTGGGCAGGTCCCTTTACTCTGCCCAGTGCTGTGGGCAGCTCTCTAAGACTTCATGTGGCAGAGAAACGGCCGACCTAAGTTGGTAGAGGAAAAGTCCTAGACCAGGAATTCCTCACACCAAGAAATCATAGGTCTAAGTCTCTAACTCGATCACTATTGCCACATACTCGGCCACAGAACAAAAGCACTCTGAATGTTCAGGTCTTCTCCACACTGAATTACCTAAAGGAGGAGCTACTCTAAGGACCAGTGGACAATCTAATGCCAAGTCATTAAATTTTGAGTGCAACATAAGCAGTGTGGTTAAGCCACTGACTAACATGAGTGGTCTCGCTAAAACTACTTCAAGTAAAAGCAAATGCCACCATTAGTTTCATTATTTCATTTAAATTGCTAGCTACAGGGATATCCCATCGAGTTAATAAAGAAGCGCACAATTTATGAAACCCTGGAAAGAAAAGTACAAGGAAGACAACGATAAAGGGATGACAGCAAAAGGTGCTGGTGACGAGGCAGAAACGGGGGTATGGGAGTCAAGTGTGGCATTTGTAAGACTTAGGCCACCTCTGCTGCAGATCAGGATCACACAAAGACATCTGTGGCAGGAGGAGGAAAAGAGCACTGACTTCACTTTCACTTCTGGGTCTGAATTTTTCCACGTGTATGTGGTGACCCATCAACAATCGAAGGTTACCAAAACTAAATTGCTTTGGAAAGACTACAGAATAGAAACTAGATTTACAGTCCACCTCTAGATGCCTCAGTTCCATCTTCAGCAGACAACCTTCATTTGGACATTTCACTGTAAGCGAGAGGATTTCCCGTTTAGCAAAGTTGTCAGGAAATAGTTGATTTTCCAGCAGTATTTCATTGTCAACAGGGCATTTGTGACCTGCATCTCTACAATAAATAAATGCAAAAATGTATACAATCATTAGAGGGCAATTCAAACTTAACTCTCATTCAACAAATACGTGTACTCTCCATTTAACATCTATTATAGAACATGGTATTTGATAACCAATTGGATTACCAAAATAATCTACAGTAACTGCTGGAAACAAGGCAATCACATCCCATCTTCATGATACAAATCAATAAGGGTTTTTTTAAACTGTGGGGCTGTCCAACACCACAAGAGATGTGGAACCCTTAAATGGATAAACTCACTGGCAGACAGTTAAAGAAGATAAAGGGATGAATCTGAACAGTGTAGACAGCCTTGTTATCCTGTCACAACAAGTCTAGTAGTCAAATGATATTCTAGGGTCCCTGATTCAACTTAATATGACCAGAGCACTTTCAGGAGTCCTAAGTGAGGCTTGACGAATCAAACCAGTGAGTTGTCCTGGGGCATTCTGGTGACTGCTTATACCTTAAACACGACCAAAGCTTTGGGCACAAGCAACAGAAGTGGTTTCAAGAGAACCAAAGGGAAGAGAAATGAATCTGGAGTCAGCAGCAAGGTCAAGTCCTGCTAGTGCTCACTGACACAAAAATGTGAGCAAGTCACTTAAGTTCTCCAGGCCTCAGTTTCTTCATTTGCAAGACAGAGAAGGGGGAGTAAAGACTCCTTTCATCTTGTTATACTTCACAGGGTTGTTATGAGGAAAATACATGGCAAGCAGTAAATGGGAGTCATTATCACTAGGATGTACATCTGCTGGGGCCATGTTTTGGGTTACCCTTAGCCCTCGTATTCCAGGATTTCCTTGTTACTTATGAAGGCAGCTGCCATTTCTGGCCTTACTTATCTGCTTATCATTATCTCCCAGCCCAGGGGTGGGGAAACCTGTGGCCTCGAGGCCACATGTGGCCTTCTAGCTTTTTGGGTACAGCCTTTTGACTGAGTCCAAGTTTTACAGAACAAATCCTTTTATTAAGGTGATTTGCTCTATGAAGTCTGGATTCAGCCAAAGGGTTGGGCCTTGAGGACCTAGAGGGTTGGTTATAGGGATCACAGAGTTGGAAGGGACCTTAGAGATCTCCTTGTACTAGCCTCTCATTTTACAGATGAGGAAACAGAGGCCCAGTGAAATGAAGTGATTTCCTAAAAGTCACATGAGTATGAAGTGGCAGAACTGGGATTTGAACCCAGATCCTCTGACTCTAAACAGTAGCTAGTGATGACATTACATAATTTCACTTTTATGAGCATTAATTTTAGTGGAAGTAGATAGCTGAAGTTTTAGAGGGGAATGTAGAAAAAGAAAAACCCTCTAATTTACTCTTGTGGGTTTTGCTTCCTTTTCTAGTCCCATTCCATGTAGGAAAATCTCACTAATTTAATTAAACAAAGAACAAACAAACAAAAAAGCTTCAGTTTGCCTAGTTTTCTAAGCCTGTATGACACTTGGTGACACATTACATATCTCTAACTTAATAAGAGGAAACCCAATAACCAAACCCTAGTTCTATTTACTATATATATACATACATACATACATATATATATATATGTATATATTGTGTGAAGAAGCATGGTGGGAAACGATGAAGGAAGGCAAAAGTTCAGCCAACAAGCTTGGTTTCCTGGGTGCCTTTTCAAAGTAATACCCTAAAACAATTTCTTAATCCACATTACAGATGCTGCTTATGCTTATGGAGAGGGGACTGGGAAGTACTAAAAAATAAATATTCAATGAAGCATTAAACTAGGAACTCAGAAGAGCTGGGTTTTATTCCTGAATCAACTACTTATGGCCCTAGAAGGATAGAGCCCTTAATTTGTTCATGTCGCGTACTTCTTACCTGGAAATAAAGATACCAGTTACTCAACTACTTCATATGGATCTTAGAAGAATTTTTAAAAGGAAGAAGAAGGGGAAGGGGGAGAAAGAGGGAGTGGAGGGAGTGGAAGTAGTGGAAGTAGTAGTGGAAGTAGTAGTAGTAGTGGTGGTGGTGGTGGTGGTGGTCGTCAGGGTGAAGCCATCCATTTTTTTTTAGTTCAAGTGATGAAAAGTATCCCTTGTAATTTGTAGTAAACTATGGTGAGTTACTCACTACAGTTGTCATTGTACTACTGTAGCTTTTATAAAAGAAACCCCCTAAAGTGTTTAAAGCTGCCCTTGGTGAACAGAAGTGCAGTAAAAAATTAAAGCTTTCTTAGAAGGTGACCGTTAATCCACTCATGGAAATCCCATCTATAGCTGGAGTATCACTTACTAATGAAAGGGTGTGGGGGTAAATTGCTCTTACTATTGTGCATAAACATGGCCAAGCTGAGTCAGATATTAAGAAATACACTGACAGCTCATTAGCAGTTTGATTCTTCACTAGTGCTCTAAGCTTGTGGCTACTATTTTGTGTTCTGGTCTTGCCACCTTAGAACAAAGTAAAACTTCTATGTCCTTTCTCTAAGTAGGATAATTTTACTTTCAATTTTCACAAGATCTAAAAGAAATGGCTTTATAAACTGGGGGAAATGGCAATTACCTTACCAACTGTTGCTGGAAACAGAATCCAGCTTTCTCAGCTTACTGTCCGACGTCCTACATTACCCATGCAACTTCTTACCCAGTAAAACTACCTTTTGAGAAACTAAAAGTTCTTTCCCATGTTTTGTTACCTTATTGACTTGACAATGCAGGCTTTGCAGAACCGATGGCCACATGGGGTTTGCACGGCTTCTCGTAATGCCATCAGACAGATAGGACACTCGTATTTGCTTTCAAGGGGTGGATCAAACTCCACATCATAGCCTTGAATCTCTTCCATCAAGGAACTGGAAAGGTTCCCAGGAATGGTGCTCCCATTTACGCTATCCTCCTTTGCGCCAGTGCTACAGGCACTGGCCATGGCAGTACAACAGTCGCTGTCCGGCTGGTTGGCACCACAGCTATCTTCACAGTTTACCAGACTCATTGTTGCTAGGTGGCCAAGCAACTTCTCTACAGAAAGAGCAAGAAAAAAATGCTTAAAATTGGATTTACTTAGCACCCATTGCCTTTGTCCAATTTTTGGCTTTAAGCAAAGCAATTATTCCTTCAAATCTTGGCTCAGATATAATTTCCTCCATTCAGCTTTCCCTTATACTACTTACTCACCCAGTCTTCCTCTTCAAACATTCCAAGGGCCCTCTGATCTTCTCCTGTATGCTTGTTTGTGTATACGTTTTTTCTTCTGTTAAGTTTTAAGCTTCTTGAGAGTAAGAATTGTGCATATGCATCTCTGAATTCCTGATAACCAAACACCCACAGGTGCTTAATAAATGTCAAATGACCTTACTCTGAATCCCAGCCCTGCCCTTTACTGAGACCTGAGTGGTCTCAGTCACCTCACTCAATCTCTCTGGGCCTCAGGTGAAGGGGAGACAAGTGAGACTATTAGAGGTCCATGGCAGCTTTAAATCCATGATGCTAGGGTTGGTCTCTCTTTGGTCCCAATCACTTTCTATTTGGTATGATCAATTACAACAGCTGACACACACAGAACTTTAACATTTAAAAAAAAAAGTACATTATCTCATTGATCCTCTCAAGAGCCCTGTCTGAATGGGGGTGCTATTATTATCCCTATTCTGGGAACAAAAACCCCTACTGATCAGAAGATTTAAGTAACTGGTTCCAAGGTCACACAGTCAAGTATCTGAGGTGGTTTCCTGCCTCCAAGGCTGGTACTGTTCTCTGCTACCCCAAGCACCTTCACACATGACTTAGCTCCTTGAGGTCAAGGACTCTTTCATTTTTGTCTTCATATTCTCAGCTCCCTATACTGTTTGTATGTGTACATATGCATGTATGCCTGAGTTTTACATATCCATGCATGTATGGATATATTTTTAAAATTAAGACCAGGTCTCCACCTTACCCAGGTAGGAAATGCAAGGGATGCTCACAAGCCCATTCCCTAGCACTAACTGGAGGGAGCTTTCACCTGCTTGCTCCATTTCAGACCTAGGCCAGTTCTTCCTTCCTTAGGCAGACAACCTGACAGCCTTCTACTTCCAGGGGCTCTAATGTCAAATAGTGCAGACATCCAATCAGCACTACCCACTCAGCTCAGAACCTGGGAGCTCAAGAGATCCAGTAGCCTTAGTCACTCCTGCGGCTGGGGTTACAGTTATGCACTACTATACTGCCCACACAGTTAAATGAAGAGCTAATAGTCTACTATGCGCCAACGTTGGGGAAAAGAAGACAACAGGAGGCAGTCTCTCCCCTTAGCCAGGGGAAGAAACAATGTGCACATTGATAAGCTATATCCAACATATATAAACAATAGTGGGAGGAGGGTGGGGCATTAATCACTGGGGAAATCAGAAAAGGCCTACTGCAGAAAGTAACATGCACTTGAAGGGAGAATGGAGGTTCCAAGAGGCAGAGGGGAGGTGGAGAACATTCCAAGACCAGGGGAACGGCTGTTCCAAGTCAGGAACTGAGGAGACAGAATGCTATATAAGGGCAACAGTCCATAGGCCAGTGTAGCTGGAATACAGAGCTCTGAATGACATGTTTATAGGTTTAAATAGCGTCTATGTCTATAAAAATTTTAATCTCTGATCTGCTCATTCAGACAACAAAGTGGAAATACAGGTGAGCCTCTGTCAACTATAATGGGTCATTGATAATCCCCTTTCCATAAAGTCTTTTTATTAACTGAAACCTAGGAAATACAAGACAAAGATTCTCTCTGAAGCCACACTAAGCCATATCTTATTTTAAAAACTAAGATGTTGTGATTTCCTTACTTCTTTCTCACCTGTCCAGTGTTTGGAGTTAAGAGAATCATCACTTGTAGTTCTAACAGCCTGTGAATTCAGTAGTAAAATTATAAACCATTTTCATTTTATTAAGAATATGAAAAAAAAAGAATATTTTACAGCAAGACGGAATGCAAAAACACATTGACTCTGTAAACATCAAAGCAGGCTTGGGCCAGGACTCCTTGGCTACTTCGCCTCAGCCAGAGAGGCTTCTCACGCTGGCAAAGCCTTTACTCCTTCTGCCTCTACCTCTGCCTCTTCCAACTGGAGAGTTCCTCCCTGGAAGCTTCCATTTAAGGAAGTGCCCACGCAAGCCATACCCCTTCAAAGCTGGTTCTGCCCAAGACTACTTCTTACCTTCCTCCCTCTTTTTTCAGCTCCCTCTTATTTTGTCCCATTGAAACGGAACCTCCTTGAAGCAGGCACGGTCTTTTGGCTAGTATTTGTATTCCTAGGACTTGGCAAGGTACCTGGAAACAACCTATGCACTCACCACTAAAAAAGGCTCTCTTGCTTTGTCAGTCTGTCTATCTGGTGTTAAACATCTGGAAGTAATAGTTTTCAAGAAATGTTGTTTATATTTTATCTTTTTAAAACAAAGAGTGCCTGTCTAAATAGTATATTTTGCTTTGAATGGTGACATTTTTTTCTGTGTTTATATCTCGTTACACAATTGTCTTAAGAACCTGAAAGTAAGTTTCCTTTCGTAAGCAGCTTATTTGTTACTGAGTAGCTGCTTAGGAACTGGACCCAATTTTCAAAACAGGTTGTTAGAATAATCAGTTCTACAACAATATTTCCTATTGATATAACAGATGAGATCTCATTTTTTTTAAAATGGCCAAATACGGAGCAAATGGTCAAATATGCTAGCTATTATTCTAATGGTATAAAAGCAATAAAATGTCTGATACTATTTCTTAGGAATCAAGCAGTCCAGAATCATAGTTCAAATTAATCCAAAGAACTTTGACCATCAAAATGAAAGCAAATGGACATCAGAGGATCAAAGAATCATAGATTTAGAACCGGGAGAGGCCTTAAAGGCCATCAAATCCAACTCTCATTTTATAGTTGAAGAAACTGAGACTCTGAGGTGAATGCCTTGCCGAGGGTCACACAGTTAGTAAGGGTCTGAGGCAGCATGTGGACCCGGGTCATCCTGAGCCCTGTTAGGGGGAGGTGAGAGTGGTTATTATTGCCTTAAACTTCTGGACAACTGATCTTTGGCTTCAATATTTTTTAGCTTCAGAGTCAAAAAATATTTTAGGAAAAAATAGATGCTTACAAGGATAAAAAAAAAAGATATCGGTTTGGATTAGAGATACCTTGTTCAGAATTTGTGTGCAAATTATTTCCAAAGGCCAGTTTAGCTACTCAGTATAGTTCTGCCATGAAAACACTGAATTTTTTTTTAAACTGATAATAAAAACTTACCTTTATCACTTTCAGGCTTGCAAAGAATGTCACATATCCTATTATCTCATTTCAGCCTCACAACCATCTTGAGGTAAGTACTCTGGTTATCATTCTAGCCTCTTTTTTACATAGCAAAACAGTACAAAAAACACTCAGAATAAAACCAAAATCAAAACCACCCTGGCTGTGGAGTCTGAATACCCTAGGTTCAAGTACTGGCTCTGTCTTGTACATGAGTGGTTTTGGACAAATTGTTGAACTTCTTCACTTTTTGTACCTGGAAAGTGAAAGGGTCAGACCAAATGACTTCTAAGGTCCCTTCTACCTCTACATCTAAGATACTATGAAGAAACTGAAGTTCACACAAATGACAAAACCTGCCCATCATCATAAATATCATGAACTGAGGTCTCTCCTTTATGTACACTTGCCTTTCTACAACACCCTCCTAAATTCTCATTCACCTCTTTTCCATTACTGAAATCAGTTTTTTAAAAATTCAAGCAAAAATTCGATGTGCTTTAAATGGATTTTTAATGAGTAAATAAAGCAAAATTAGCAGGCAAAATAAACTCATACTGACATGCTCACTACAGGAAAGTAATTGCTTTTACTAACTCTGTTAGAAACATTGTAGGTTACTGCCATGCATGACATGCGCAACTCTTCATAAAGAAATCCTGCTATTTCTTAAAGTGAGAATACTGCTCCCCCTCCCCTCCCCCACGCCCCAAATGCATTTTATAACATTAAATGGCAAAATATTTTTTAACCGAGGAGACATATGGCTCTCTCTAGGCTTTGGAGAAAAATATGAATATGCTTTTTATAGAATGACTAATATAGCACTTTATAATTTACAAAGCATCTTATATATGTTATCTCAGATCTTTTTTTAAAGACAAAAAAGAAAAAAGAGGAAAAAATCAGCACAGCTAAGCAATATATCAAAAAAGTCTGAAAATATATGTGAGGTACACCACTAGTGGACCTCTCACTTCTACAAAGGAATGGTTTATAGTGTCTTAAGGTTTGCAAAGCACTTTTAACTCCTTTGAGCCTCACAACTATCAACCCTGTTAGATACATTCAGGGATAGCTGTTTTACATATCAGGAAACTGAAGCTCCGTAAGATCACACAGCTGGTAAATACCGGAGGCAGAACCTGAATACATTTCTTCCTGAATCCAAGGCCAGCATTTTATCCACTAGGCCAACAATGACTTGCCCATTTTTTCTTGAAATGTATCTCCTGAGGCTGTGTTGCCGATAAAGCCTCAACTCTGATAAATTAGTCCATTTATGTATTTCATAAACATTGCCCTGAGGGTAACGTCTTCATTTAATAATTCACTCTTCAAAAAACAGCGGGTTTTTTTTTTCCCCAGTATATATATTCTTCCCTCCATTGGTACAGACTCAGGCTTGTGTGCAGCTACTTCAGGCTGCAAAACTGACTTGAGAGCTGCTCTGGATGCAAGATTCACGAACCTTCAGGCTGCCTGGTAACAACACTCCCAGACTGAGCCATGCTCCCCCTCAGACAGAGTACACTTTGTCACTGGGCCCATACCAATTCTGCCAGCTTGGAGGAGCTGCCCGAGCCTGTGCTTCGATTACCTTTGCGAACTCAGCGTCATCTCTGTGCCACAAGCTGACATACAAAGATTTGAGTGGGAGATACTTAGGCTTTCATTTAATATAAATGAGAAGACAATGGCAACAGTATTCCACACAGCAGACAAAAGTTGCCAATTTAATATTTT